CATACGTATCGGGCAGTATCATGAATCACCACTCTATTCTAAATCATTTTTTCTGTTATATTCGTTTTGCAAATCCAAAAGTTTATTTCTAGTTCGTTTTTCATTTTTATTGTTATTTATATAAATGATGGCGGATCATTGCTCTCTCCTTTTCTGACCAAAGCTTTGGCGTTAATGGACTTACGTTATCGGTTATTATCATTTTAGCATCAAATAAAACGACATCACGATGGATCATGTCTGTATAAACAGGTGGAGTACAATAAGCTGTAGGAAGTAAACACGCAGTGATAATACTGTAAAATTATCTGTTTTCGTTGGGTTCGTTCTATGTGCTTTGATCCACATTTTGCTCCTATGTATCCCCCTCACAAGCCTCCAGTTTGTCAGATACTCCCTTTTCTTACCTTAAATACACTTATATCACTAACCTTATTTAGTGGAAACCTAAAACAAAACATGTATTAATACTAAAAATTAGCACTACCTGTCGCAGTTACATGCCCCCGTTTTGTCTCACCCTAATATAAAGCGAAAACAATCATAAATATGTCGGCGGTCTAAAGAACGCAACATCTCAATCCTGCAACAATATGTACAATATAGAGGTCTATTGTGCTAATATTTGTATGTAACATACAAGTGTGATGATTAATTCTTACCCACAGAGGAACATACAGGCAGGTGGATTAAATAATAAACACCAAGAAACATACAGGTGTATTAATTTAATGTCGCACACCGAGAAAGTGTCAAATGATTCGTAGGTAACGCATGCTTGTTGATTAATGTCACACACCAAGAAAATGTAACATTACTCACTAAGGAAGTGTCACGTGATTTATAGGTGACATACAGGTGTATTGATTAAATGTCGAACACAGGCACATGTCACATGATGTCATGTAACGTACAGGTGTTTTGATAATTCAGAGTGTGGTGACAAGCGATTGGATGGACATCGATGTAATGTATCATATAAATGTAAAGATCTTACATTTTATACTGATCTGTTAATGTAAAATGATTAAATTTCAAATCCTATACAAATGTGTTTCATGCAGGTGTATGGCCGAGAGAAATAAGAAGAGGCCCATGGGGCCTGCATCTATAACTTCATTGTGTTCGCTGATATTGCCTTATCTTAACTAAAACTATTTTTGAAAATGACATGAATTTTCCTTATTAAGACCCGCCCTTCCAGTACCATTGGGCATAGTTCCATCGTTTATAGAAAGTCGATCCCTCCTTGCACAGGGATGCTTCAGATCAAACTAGGGCAAAATCCACGCATTTCTACAGAAGAAGGATTTGAAAAAAACTATTCCCTATTGGCCCCATCTCTTCGCCCTAGGTGGTCAAGACCCACTGTTTATACAAAACTGATTCCTCTTTACCCAAGGATGCTTCACACCAAAGAGGGAGAGTCCTCATTCCTACTGAAGAAGGAACATTTCAAATAATTTAATCTGTTTCTCCTTACAGTGGGGAGGGCTGACCTATAATTTATACATTACTTATTTCTCTTCAATTATGGATGTTCCAAACCCAAGTGGGACAGAATCCTGACATTCAAACAGAAGGAGGCTTTTAAACATTTGCTCTATTTCTATGTATTGTACACAGACCCTCCTGCACTAGGGGGGCGATACCGACAGTTATACAAAATTAAATTCCATTCACCCAGGGATACTTCAGACCAAATTTATACTGTTTGTACTGTTCTACTGTGTACTCTATGACATGAACTTGTTGGTGATTAACATTAATCTGGTAGCAGTACCGATAGGTATTACCTGATATAAAACTGATTTACACAAGTTGGATAAGTTAATCTATTCGAGGAATTAAGTTAAATGCTGGTTGATATATGTATGGTACGGTAACAATGATTGAAGTTCACACCATATCATATTGCGTGAGGTACTGCTTGTTTGATTTACGGCTACATGAATGTAATGACGGTATTAATTTTGTCACAATTATTATGCTCGAAATAGACGGCTGATCCGTCTGCCGTGTTTCATACGACACAGTAATACCAACATGTTCGTGTCTATTCACAGGTATTTGTCACAATTTATTATGCTATATTTTGGCTACTACGTGATTTAACTTGATAACTTTATTAGAAATCTATAAAGCGACAATTCATAAGAAAACGAATTGCGTCCGATACCTGTATCTATTAAATCATGGCTGACGTCACAGTCTATCATCCTTCACGTGCTTGTCTACTGCTCCGTAATGATACGATCAACTTACTGTATTCATACAATATGCACTCTTTGATTGATTATTTATATCCGTATGCTTTGAAGCCTCGTTCGACTAACTATTTAAACTATGTGAATGGTCTGATGAAAAAGTACACCTCGGGGTTAGTTTCATAATTCCTAGTGAAATTGTCGGGGCAAGAGCCCTGATCGCTAAACTCTCTCGTTAAGACACTTAATCGTTAAACTCTCGGGGCAAGACTCTTGATCGTTTAAGTGAGACCTTTGATTGTTGAGCCCTCGGGGTAAAAATCTTGACCGTTAAGCTCTCGGGGTAAGATTTTTGATCGTCAAACCCTCGTACCAAGAATCATGATCGTTAAACTATCATGGTAAGATTATTGATCGTCAGACTCTCAAGGGGAAGATTCTTCCTTGATAGTTAAACTCTCTAGTTAAAACACTTAATCGTTAAACTCTCTCGGTAAGACTCCTGGCCTCACTTGTATAAAACATCTCAACTTGAGATTTCCTCAAGTCGAGATTTTCCTCAGCTGATATCTCCTCAAAAACGGCTTGTATAAAATTTTCTCAAGGAACAGGAGGAAGGCATCGGCTAGGATGTCCTGAAATTCCTTGAGGAATTTTCATACAAGATATTTTCAAGGAGATATTAGCTGAAGAAAATCTGGGCTTGAGGAAATCTCAAGTTGAGATGTTTTATACAAGTGGGGCCTGATCGTTAAACTCTCTGCTTAAGACACTCGATTGTTAAACTCTCATGGTAAGACTCCTGATCGTTAAACTCTCTGGGTAAGACTCCTGATCGTTAAACTCTCTGCTTAAGACATTCGATCTTTAAACTCTCTCGTGAAGTCTCCTGCTCGTCAAACTATCTAAGTAAGACTCTTGATAGTTTAACTATCTAGTCGAGACACTTGATCGTTAAACTCTCTAGTTAAGACACTCGATCGTTAAAGTCTCTGGTTAAGACACTCGATCGTTAAACTATCTAGTTAAAACACTCCACCGTTAAGCTCTCAGGGCAAGGCACTTGATTATTAGCACTTTGATCGATTAACTATGAAACAGTGAAGATAAGTAAGCGAAAAATCTCTCAGGGTAAGATTACTAAAACTGAAAACACCTGATTAAGAAACTAAACTTGAAACTCGCGGGTAAATATAAATTAAAGTAAAAAAAAACAAATTAAGTAGCTAAACTTAAAACTAGCGGGGAAAGATCTTTTAAAAAAGAAAATTACAGGTCAGAAAGTAAATTCTCGGGAGGTATTGTCGTAGTTACATGGGTTACCTGGTTTTTAACGCTATAGTTCTAATACAACTTCGATTTACCGATCAATTAAACTTTTAAGATCTGTGTATATGGATATACGCTGTGTTACATGTACGAGAGCCGTCTGGACAAATCACTTCATTCAATTAGTCTCTATAACGTTACATATAATCTCCGTGTAATTAATCCTCACAACGTACTAATTTATCTGAGTGTAATTAATCCTCACAACGTACTAATTTATCTGAGTGTAATTAATCCTCACAACGTACTAATTTACCTGAGTGTAATTAATCCTCACAACGTACTCACAACGTACTAATTTATCTGAGTGTAATTAATCCTCACAACGTACTAATTTACCTGAGTGTAATTAATCCTCACAACGTACTAATTTATCTGAGTGTAATTAATCCTCACAACGTACTAATTTACCTGAGTGTAATTAATCCTCACAACGTACTAATTTACCTGAGTGTAATTAATCCTCACAACGTACTAATTTACCTGAGTGTAATTAATCCTCACAACGTACTAATTTACCTGAGTGTAATTAATCCCTACAACATACTAATTTACCTGAATGTTATTAATCCACACAATTCACAATGATTAACCTGAATACGATTAATCCCTACATCTTACAATGCTTTACCTGAGTGTATTTAATCCCTACAAGTAAGTAAGATACCTGAGAGTAATTGATCCCTACAACCTTTTTATTTACCTGAGTGCAATTAATCCTTCAACTCACAATAAATTATCTGAAAGTAATTTATCCCTACAACTTATTGATTTGCCATAAGATACTTAATCCTCACAATGTTTGACACTATTTTACCCGAATGTAATTTATCCTCTATACACGAGTTTGACAATAGTGTATACTATAAAAATGTAGAGTCTGTCACCTTTATCTCTATTCTACCCGAGAAATTTTAGCTTTGGTAGGGTAAACGTCCACTGAGTAATATCAAACGACACCTGTAAGAGATGTTAATGTAGGATTATCAGCAGACACATGCGTGCGCTGCGTCGATTGCATTACATCAATTTTTACATCAACGTGATATCAGTGGACACGTGTCTAGATACTAATTTAACAGGGATATCAGCCGACACGTGTCTAGATACTACATTAACAGGGAAATTACTCAACACGTGTCTATATACTACATTAATAGGGATATTACTCAACACGTGTCTAGATACTACATTAACTGGGATATCAGCGGACACGTGTCGAGATATAACATTTACAATGTTATCAATCGACACGTGTCTGGATATAACATTTACAATGTTATCAATCGACACGTGTCTATACAATACATTAACAATGATATCAATCGACATGTGTTTAGACACTACATTAACAATGATATTTATCGACACGTGTCTAGATAATACAATAACGGTGATATCAATCGACACGTGCCCGTGATAGTGTTTATACTGTTGGAGTGTGCCTCCGTATTTGACACTTACCTGAAGCATATCCCGCCCAGGACACGAGGAGAATAAGATGTATTGAACAATGACAGGTCGCGTATGTATCCATGAGTCTGAAACACAATATCATCCCATAGCACACACATGTAGACACGTTTTTCTCAAAACACTTGATGTTGTTCAGGTACACGTATGTAGAAAAAGTTTAATGGCCCGGGGGTAGGGCGATAGATATAAGTGCACAGGTTATGTACGGTAAATAAAGACACGGCCGATATCGTCTGCCAAAAACACGTCGCTTCTCCATACTACGTGACTACTATGCCTATGACGGACGATGGTATGAATGAAGTGATTATTAGGCTCGTCTGTATAAGTTATATTGGCATCACATGACGGGACCGAGAGGAGGGACCTAACTAGCGACAGATCTACCTGGGCTGTAACGGTGCGTTCGATTAAGATATAAAATTAACATAACAATTGCGGACGCATTTTGATTAATGAGTTCCATACACAGCCAACATACAGCGTAGTAGGCGCCGTAGTAATAGTTTACACTCAGGCTGTGTAAGTAGTGTTCTGATACCTGTAATAGGGCCGTAGTAATAGATTCCACTCAGGCTGTGTAGGTAGTGTTCTGATACCTGTAATAGGGCCGTAGATATACTTTACACTAAGGCTGTGTAGGTAGTGTTCTGATACCTGTAATAGGGCCGTAGTAATAGTTTACACTCAGGCTGTGTAGGTAGTGTTCTGATACCTGTAATAGGGCCGTAGATATACTTTACACTAAGGCTGTGTAGGTAGTGTTCTGATACCTGTAATAGGGCCGTAGTAATAGTTTACACTCTGGCTGTGTAGGTAGTGTATGATACCTGTAATAGGGCCGTAGAAATAGTTTACACTCAGGCTGTGTAGGTAGTGTTCTGATACCTGTAATAGGGCCGTTGTAATAGTTCCCACTAAGGCTGTGTAGGTAGTGTATGATACCTGTAATAGTGCCGTAGAAATAGTTTTCACTAAGACTGTGTAGGTAGTGTATGATACATGTAATAGGGTCGTAGTAATAGTTTTCACTAAGACTGTGTAGGTAGTGTTCTGATACCTGTAATAGGGCCGAAGTAATAGGTTCTGATACCTGTAATAGGGCCGTAGTAATAGTTCCCACTGAGGCTGTGTAGGTAGTGTATGATACATGTAATAGGGCCGTAGTAATAGTTTACACTCAGGCTGTGTAGGTAGTGTATGATACCTGTAATAGGGCCGTAGTAATAGTTTACACTCAGGCTGTGTAGGTAGTGTTCTGATACCTGTAATAGGGCCGTAGTAATAGTTTACACTCAGGCTGTGTAGGTAGTGTTCTGATACCTGTAATAGGGCCGTAGATATACTTTACACTAAGGCTGTGTAGGTAGTGTTCTGATACCTGTAATAGGGCCGTAGTAATAGTTTCCACTAAGGCTGTGTAGGTAGTGTTCTGATACCTGTAATAGGGCCGTAGATATACTTTACACTAAGGCTGTGTAGGTAGTGTTCTGATACCTGTAATAGGGCCGTAGTAATAGCTCCCACTAAGACTGTGTAGGTAGTGTTCTGATACCTGTAATAGGGCCGTAGTAATAGTTTACACTCAGGCTGTGTAGGTAGTGTTCTGATACCTGTAATAGGGCCGTAGTAATAGTTTCCACTAAGGCTGTGTAGGTAGTGTTCTGATACATGTAATAGGGCCGTAGTAATAGTTTCCACTAAGGCTGTGTAGGTAGTGTTCTGATACCTGTAAAAGGGCCGTAGTAATAGTTTACACTAAGGCTGTGTAGGTAGTGTATGATACCTGTAATAGGGCCGTAGTAAGTAGTGTTCGATACATGTAACAGGGCCGTAGTAGTGTACGATACATGTAATAGGGCCGTAGTAAGTAGTGTATGATACATGTAATAGGGCCGTAGTAGTGTACGATACATGTAATAGGGCCGTAGTAGTGTACGATACATGTAATAGGGCCGTAGTAGTGTACGATACATGTAATAGGGCCGTAGTAAGTAGTGTACGATACATGTAATAGGGCCGTAGTAGTGTACGATACATGTAAAAGGGCCGTAGTAAGTAGTGTATGATACCTCTTATAGTGAAGTGATATCTATTATTAAGCCTAATTACGTAATGTATTATACCTGTAATGGTTCTTGTAATATTGCCATATAGGTGTTTTACTGGTTCATATAATATTATGAAGTGTGATCATTTTGATAGAGCCGTTATATATAGTGTATGATACCTGTAGTATAGATAGAGGGAACCGTTCTCACACATTCTAAAAGGCCAGGTAGTATAGCGAGAGGGAACCATTCTCTCACATTCTAAAAAGCCAGGTAGTATAGCGAGAGGGAACCGTTCTCTCACATTCTAAAAAGCCAGTTAGTTTAGCGAGAGGTACCGTTCTCTCACATTCTAAAAAGCCAGTTAGTATAGCGAGAGGGAACCATTCTCTCACATTCCAAAAAGCCAGGTAGTATAGCGAGAGGGAACCGTTCTCTCACATTCTAAAATGCTAGGTAGTATAGCTAGAGGGAACCGTTCTCTCACATTCTAAAATGCCAGGTAGTATAGCGAGGGGTAACATTCTCTCATATTCTAAATAAAGCCAGCTAGTATAGCAAGAATGAACCGTTCTCTCACATTCTAAAAAGCCTGTTAGTATAGCGAGAGGGAACCATTCTCTCACATTCTAAAAAGCCACTTAGTACAGCGAGAGGGAACCATTCTCTCACATTCTAAAAGGCCAGTTAGTATAGCGAGAGGGAACCGTTCTCTCACATTCTAAAAGGCCATGTAGTATAGCGAGAGGGTTACATTCACTCACATTCTAAAAAGCCAGGTAGTATAGCGAGGGAACCGTTCTCTCACATTCTAAAAAGCCATTTAGTTTTGCGAGAGGGAACTATTCTCTCACATTTTAAAAAGGCAAATACTATAGCGAGAGGGAATCGTTCTCTCACATTCTAAAAAGCCAGTTAGTTTAGCGAGAGGGAACCGTTCTCTCACATTCTAAAAAGTTAGGTAGTATAGCGAGAGGGAACCATTCTCTCACATTCTAAAAAGCCAGTTAGTTTAGCGAGAGGGAACCGTTCTCTCACATTCTAAAAAGTTAGGTAGCATAGCGAGAGGAAACTATTCTCTCACATTCTAAAAAGCCAGGTAGTATAGCGAGAGGGAACCATTCTCTCATAAATTTCAAATGGCAAACACTGTAGCGAGAGGGAACTATTCTCTCACATTCTAAAAAGCCAAGCAGTATAGCTAGAGGGAACCGTTCTCTCACATTCTAAAATGCCAGTTAGTATAGCGAGAGGGAACCATTCTCTCACATTCTAAAAGGCCAGGTAGTATAGCGAGAGGTAGCTATTCTCTCACATTCTAAAAAGCCAGGTAGCATAGCGAGAGGGAACCGTTCTCTCACATTCTAAAATGCCAGTTAGTATAGCGAGAGGGAACCGTTCTCTCACATTCTAAAATGCCAGTTAGTATAGTTAGAAGGAACCGTTCTCTCACATTCTAAAAAGCCAGTTAGTATAGTTAGAAGGAACCGTTCTCTCACATTCTAAAAAGCCAGGTAGTATAGCGAGAGGGAACCGTTCTCTCACATTCTAAAAAGCCAGTTAGTATAGTTAGAAGGAACCGTTCTCTCACATTCTAAAAAGCCAGGTAGTATAGCGAGAGGGAACCGTTCTCTCACATTCTAAAATGCCAGGTAGTATAGCGAGAGGGAACCGTTCTCTCACATTCTAAAATGCCAGTTAGTATAGCGAGAGGGAACCATTCTCTCACATTCTAAAAGGCCAGGTAGTATAGCGAGAGGTAGCTATTCTCTCACATTCTAAAAAGCCAGGTAGCATAGCGAGAGGGAACCGTTCTCTCACATTCTAAAAAGCCAGTAAGTATAGCGAGAGGGAACCATTCTCTCACATTATAAAAAGCCAGTTAGTATAGCGAGGGAACCGTTCTCTCACATTCTAAAAAGCCAGGCAGTATAGTTAGAAGGAACCGTTCTCTCACATTCTAAAAAGCCAGGTAGTATAGCGAGAGGGAACCGTTCTCTCACATTCTAAAAAGCCAGTTAGTATAGTTAGAAGGAACCGTTCTCTCACATTCTAAAAAGCCAGGTAGTATAGCGAGAGGGAACCGTTCTCTCACATTCTAAAATGCCAGGTAGTATAGCGAGAGGGAACCGTTCTCTCACATTCTAAAATGCCAGTTAGTATAGCGAGAGGGAACCATTCTCTCACATTCTAAAAGGCCAAGGCAAATACTATTCTCTCACATTCTAAAAAGCCAGGTAGCATAGCGAGAGGGAACCGTTCTCTCACATTCTAAAAAGCCAGTTAGTATAGCGAGAGGGAACCATTCTCTTACATTCTAAAAAGCCAGGTAGTATAGTGAGAGGGAACCATTATCTCACATTCTAAAAAGCCAGGTAGTATAGCGAGAGGGAGCCATTGAAACGTTGTGTTTAAGAGTCCTGCAGCGTAAGAAGTTGAATATATTATAATAGTCACACGAAACCTTTCCCGTAGTCCTTCATTACTGAATAAGATGAATCTACTTGAACTGTTCTGATGTTCCTGAACGATAATGATGTAGATCTGCCCTAATGTTATAAGTCTTAAGAAGCAAAATTCAGTAGACATGCAAGTGATCACTTTATATCCTAACCTGCTATAATTGCGTGATCTGTTTATAACTACATTTCGTCTGGGCAGACACCGCGATAACATGCCGTCAATATCCCTTAAAGTCTTATAAATTCAATTAGCAAGCATTGCTGAACCTAGAGCGTCTGTCTATAAAACGGATGTTACCAAGTTGTTCTGCTGCTTAAATTCTTCATTCCGCCTTATCATATATGGTGGGGCTAATTAATACATGTATGTTGATGAAATGGATGATTGGCAGTCAATGAACCGTAACGCAACCTGTCGTTTCTACTGTTTTAACACACGTGTGTTACGTATTATTGAATTTAGATCATGCAGAACGTCACATCATATTTTAAATGTATACATCCTGTAAGTAACATTGTATTTTGAGCATGTCGATGATATCTGTATCACGCATTTTGAGCATACAAATGTTAAAATGAAATTGAGCATACATATGTTACAATTAACTAATTGTACTTTGAACCTGTACGTTAAAATTAACGGATGTTTTTCTAACTTTTATGCTACAATAAACGGTTGTATTTTGAACCTGTATTTTACAATAAAATGTATTTTGAATCTGTATTTTACAATAAAATGTATTTTGAACCTGTATGTTACAAATAAACGGCTGTATTTTGAACCTGTATGTTACAAATAAACGGCTGTATTTTGAATATGTATGTTACAAATAAACGGCTGTATTTTGAACCTGTATGTTACAAATAAACGGCTGTATTTTGAACCTGTATGTTACAAATAAACGGCTGTATTTTGAATATGTATGTTACAAATAAACGGCTGTATTTTGAACCTGTATGTTACAAATAAACGGCTGTATTTGGAACCTGTATGGTACAAATAAACGGCTGTATTTTGAACCTGTATGTTATAATGAACGGTTGTATTTTGAACCTGTATGGTACAAATAAATGGCTGTATTTTGAACCTGTATGTTATAATGAACGGTTGTATTTTGAACCTGTATGGTACAAATAAATGGCTGTATTTTGAACCTGTATGTTATAATGAACGGTTGTATTTTGAACCTGTATGGCATTGAGGTGTTTAAACATTGCCTGATAGCCTACAGTGACCAGGATGTAGATGGATTTAAGCTTTGGAACCTTGCCTGTGACCGTGACAACGCCTGATAGCCTACAGTGACCAGGATGTAGATGGAATTAAGCTTCGGAACCTTGCCTGTGACCGTGACAAAGCCTGACAGCCTACAGTGACCAGGATGTAGATGGAATCAAGCTTCGGAACCTTGTCAACGACCGTGACAAAGCCTGACAGCCTACAGTGACCAGGATGTAGATGGAATTAAGCTTCGGAACCTTGCCAGTGACCGTGACAAAGTCTGATAGCTTACAGTGACCAGGATGTAGATGGAATTAAGCTTCGGAACCTTGCCTGTGACCGTGACAAAGCCTGACAGCCTACAGTGACCAGGATGTAGATGGAATCAAGCTTCGGAACCTTGCCTGTGACCGTGACAAAGCCTGACAGCCTACAGAGACCGGGATAGCAAACGACTCAACAAACGTCACCTTGTCGACTCCCGTGACAAAGCCTGACAGCCTACAGACCAGGATGTAGAATTAAGCTTCGGAATGGAAGCCTGACAGCCTACAGTGACCAGGATGTAGAACCTTGCCAGTGACCGTGACAAAGTCTGATAGCTTACAGTGACCAGGATGTAGATGGAATTAAGCTTCGGAACCTTGCCAGTGACCGTGACAAAGTCTGATAGCCTACAGTGACCAGGATGTAGATGGAATTAAGCTTCGGAACCTTGCCTGTGACCGTGACAAAGTCTGATAGCCTACAGTGACCAGGATGTAGATGGAATCAAGCTTCGGGACCTTGCCAGTGACCATGACAAAGTCTGATAGCCTACAGTGACCAGGATGTAGATGGATTTAAGCCTCGGAACCTTGCCAGTGACCGTGACAAAGTCTGATAGCCTACAGTGATCAGGATGTAGATGGAATCAAGCTTCAGAACCTCAAATATGACTAGAAATCCTTTCGTAGAAAAAATGCCATACAAATGGATTTTGCCCCATTTTGAATAAAGAAGCACGTCTAGCGATACAAAACGAAACTCAACTGAACGAAGTCCGTCGAAACTCCGTGATTAGAGGGTTGACTTTTCACATTACTCTTCGTCAATAGTTCATCAGTCCGTTTGTTGGACAGTCAGTCCGTCTGGTAAACATTTTTAATGACATTTACAATAAATTCTTATATTTTATTTATTGTTTCGGTTGGGTCGCTTCCTGTGCATGGCATATATCTGAGTTCAACTTTCGACTGTTGTGACAGCTAAATATCACTAACTATTGAATGGATCTTCTTGAAACTTTCATGACAGCATGTTGTACGTTCAACTATGTAGCAAGATATGTAGACATATAATTGTTTCTCTATTGATATTGTCACTGGAGCCGTTTAACTAAGGGACAATATCAAACTAAATAGGTATAATGAAAACAATCTGAGAAGGAGCACCAATGTTTTTTTTTTTTTTTTTTTTTGGGGGGGGGGGGGGGGTGGGGGAGTTCTTGTGTAATGTCATATAATGAGATAATCACGGCCATATCTACAGATGTAACATTAATCAGTATTCTTCATTCCAACCGTCCATAACCAGTTCGCCTTTACAAAATTGTCTGCCATCACCAATCTCCTTCTCGCTTTGTCTGCTATCACCAATGTCCTTCTCACAATGTCTATCATCACTAATCTCCTTTTCACATTGTCTGCCATCATTAATCTCCTTTAAACATTGTCTGCCATCACCAATCTCCTTCTTCTTTGTCTGCTATCACCAAACTCCTTCTCGCTTTGTCTATCATCACCAATCTCCTTTTCACATCGTCTATCATCACCAATCTCCTTTTTGCTTTGTCTACCATCACCAATCTCCTTTTCACATTGTCTACCATCATCATCAACGTCATTTAAACATTGTCTGTCATCACTAATGTCTTCCCGTATTGTCTGTCATCATCAACGTCCTTTACATATTGTCTGTCATCACCAATATTCTTCCCACATTGCCCATCATCATCAACGTCATTTAAACATTGTCTGCCATCACCAATATTCTTCCCACATTCCCATCATCATCAACGTCATTTAAATATTGTCTGTCATCACCAATATTCTTCCCACATTGCCCATCATCATCAACGTCCTTTACATATTGTCTGTCATCACCATTATTCTTCCTACATTGCCCATCATCATCAACGTCATTTAAACATTGTCTGCCATCACCAATATTCTTCCCACATTGCCCATAATCATCAACGTCCTTTACATATTGTCTGTCATCACCAATATTCTTCCCACACTGCCCATCATAATCAACGTCCTTTACATATTGTCTGTCATCACCATTATTCTTCCCACATTGCCCATCATCATCAACGTCATTTAAACATTGTCTGCCATCACCAATATTCTTCCCACACTGCCCATCATCATCAACGTCCTTTACATATTGTCTGCCATCACCAATATTCTTCCCACATTGCCCATCATCATCAACGTCATTTAAATATCGTCTGTCATCACCAATGCCTTCCCGTATTGTCAAAATAGGTTAGCATGGACGTATGTTCAGGAGTACGTGTCATTAATCAATACTTTCTAGCTGGAATTTATAATGGAGTTTTGACAGTCAACATTGTAAAAGGATGTGCGTGTAAGATGATGACGGCCACTCCCAGGCCTTCTCTGGTGGATACATACGTTGAATAACAAACCTAGATACAATGACATTTCAATCATCAGCATGCCGAGAAGGCTCACATATAAATTATGCTATACATGTACACAAACATGCTTTCAGGATTTAATGAAGTTTCAATGAAAATGTTTGTATTCAATCATTGCATACGGAAGTTTTAATTTTGACATCAATGAATACGGATACTTATTTCTTAAAGACAACGCCCAATATATTATTTTCTCCAAATCATTGGAAAGTTTCAGGTGACAAGACGAAGCCGGCGGAGGAAACACGCCCCAGGACCACGGGTCACAGGTGTGGCGTGTGGTGCTGGTGCACGTGACAATGGCAAATGAAGTAAATAACAGAATTAAACTGAATATCTGCAATCACCAAATTATTACCAAACGTGTCTGTCAGAATGACAAGGGACGACACTCGAAAGAGTAGCAAATGTCAAGGTTACACAGAGGTCGAACAGTGCAGCAGGCCACCATTCCATGGAATTCAGAAGGCGGGAAGCTAGCAGTCATATTGATAACTGGGAGCATTTTATCTGTACTAGAAACGGAAGTGTATCGAAATAGCTGATCATAATTGTACCAAAATAATACTGAAATGATACCTTGTCAGGGAGAAAAGGCTTAGGGGCACTTCAGACACCATTCGAAATTATGTCCAGATAATATCAAGTCTATTTTAGATTCATTGTAAATAACATGTATATTTTTATATGATGATTGACATACAATTATACACGTCAAGTGCGACAATATTCCGATCCCGGGATACCCATTGTTTGATTAAACCGCGTAATGTCACGCAGTACTAGACAACGCTTCCTTGAGAAAACCGCCTGTTACTCATTCCCATTCACGACTAAACGTAATTTTTATTTCAGATCACAATAAAAATAGGATGGAATCACTTGGCGTGTAAACCATTTAAAAGTTTTAAGAATGAAATTCCACGTTCCGCTATCGTTAACTATATCTTGCTTTAAATGTGTGGTGATATCACGGCCTGGTGCAGGCAGGACCGAACACCATGCGCGGTGTGTGTTTCATAAGGAGGAACAAAGGATCCCGGAGTACAATTTGTCTGTGGTTACAGACACTCAATACAGGTTGACGGTCTAACAGAATGTTTTAGAAAAAGGTGCGTTTTTATCATCATTCCTTTTTTTTCCTCAACAATTCTTAGTGTTGAACGGATTTCATCAGATACCTTATGGATACGTTGAAACTGGGGCATGTGGTTGATCAAACAGTTAACAGGTATTTCACGTATCTATGATCAATGATCCCGGGACAATATAGACCATGTAGACATTGGATTCCACAGAACTTGTAAGTAAACAAGTGTAAAAACAAGTCAGAACAAAAGGTGATTGTACACCACCAACAATGACAGATTTAATATAACAGAAAAAACACAGTCAAGATATGGTGAACCGGAAGTTCACCACGTCAAATATACAAATATCCGGGAAGATTTCATGAAACTAATTTCGGGCTACAACTTTTGATTTAGAAGAAAGTATCCTAAATAATATCTGACACTATCGAAAACTTAAAATAATATAAAATATTTAAATTCTTTTCTGTCGGGGCCAAACCGGTAGGTCATTATATGTGAATGGTTTCGGCCACAGAGGTTGAAGGTGTTTGTATGCATAAATGACGATTTGTTTCGAAATCAGAAGGAATAATGTTTTTGGCACTGCCATGAACCTGTCCACGACCGATTTCCACGATTGATGATTATCCCATTCAGCTGACAGCTTGTTTACATGTACGACGTGAACTCTATCAGCCTGCCCTAGCTGTTACCCCGACAACAACCTTGACCTTCGGCTGACATTGCTCATTACCCGGCAGCCTTGTCAAAACACATGAAACATTAATGTGACAGTAAATGAAAGTGGTGGGCCCTGTGGCCGTGGCCATTTCGGCACGCGCGCGTCACGCGCCCGCTAGTTTAGTACGCAGGACCGGGGACTGAAAGCAGCGCTTATCGTTTTATCCGAACAATATCAACATATTAAGCATGTTCCGTCACCGACCAGAAAAAAATTATCGCTATTATTCTGTTTACTATTTAAGTAACTATCGTGGGCGTAAAACAGTCATTTAAGTCGAGTGGATAGCCTCCGGGTTACAGCTAAGGTACCATCATGAGCTGGACTTCTTTGCAAGCTTTGAGTCTGAGAAATGCTGTTCACCTCCTTGTTGTTATTTATAACACTACCATTTTATTAATTTTCAAATTGGAACAAGATAATAGGGCCAATAGGTTCTTGTATCTTATTCGGAAATTTCAACCTTCATATCTAAACTTTTTATTAAAAAATGTTGTGATTAAATTGGATAAAATTCAATTTGAATGTTTATCACAACCCCTCTGCCCCGAATGGGGCCTAACCATACATTTATACGATATTCAGTTTCCTTCACCGACGGAAAATTGAAATAACATTTTGTCCAAAACCTTTCATGACAAAAGAAGATGGATTTTAAAGATTTACATCTATTTACACTATTTTGTCTCGCCCGTCGTTTGTGCAGTCTCCTTAACCGAAGTGTTTTTAATGCACTTCGTAAAGATAAAGAAGGGTTCCTTAAGCATATGCTATATATCCCCTATGGGGCCGCGCCCCTCAGATCCTGTCAACCTGGTCCAATCATTTATTTTTTCATCCAATGAAACTTCTGAACAAATTTAGTCTACGTCCACTATGCCGTTCATTAGCAGTAACAAGATTTAGGTAAAAAGTTGACCACGACAAATATATAATTGGACTTACTGAGAAAGACAAGATTTTAAAAGTTAATTTCTAACTTCAAATAAAAAAATAAAATAGGAGGATATTTCCTGCCTAGACAGTAAACTTTTTGTACTTATGAAATTGGAGACGAATACCATTATCTTCATAAGTGTAATGATAAGTAAAGACTTCATGTACAACTAAGAATCAAACTCCAGATTATTATTGATATCTTACTATCAATGAGATGAAGACTATTTATAATAGGTGTTTAATGGTAAACGTTTGTAGATATCTAGAAAAATAAAACCACGCGATTTATCAATATTGTCTATTTGTATTACAAACAAAAAAAACTATTTTACTGTATATAATATTTTTGGATTTATCTTAAATAGAATCTTTGTCACGCATATTAAATGCTTACTTTGTACAATGACCTCTTGTTATACACAATCAGAGTGTCTGAGAGTAGAATACGTTCTGAAGTCACCGTCATTGGGATCAGATGATCTTAACATTTAAACGCCCCCTGTTCAGAATGTCGAACGTATGGTGTAGGGGTCACGTGAAACTCGGGTCACGTGCCACTGTTATTAATTCATTGCTACTGCTGGTTACTTTTAGTTGTATTCCACTGTTTCCAACATGGCACTGCTCAGATTAATAAATGTGAACTAATACAAATCGAAATACTTTTGTATACATGACAGGGAACGAAATTCATAAAGAGCGAGTATTCAGATTACGGATGTTAACGTGTTAACGGATGCCGAAGAATTCCATGTGTATATACTGTCTGGTAAAACGCCATGATTGGTTAACACAAAGTGGACTTTGTGGTAGAGTGATTCCATACCAAGTTTAATTGTTTAATAGCCGTATCATGATATAAAGGCTGAGGAAATTGTTTTTATAAGCAAATGTAACGAAAAATTAAAGACTTTTTAGAAAGCAGACCGACTTCACAAGAATGATGTAATTTGTCTTTCATTTGTACTGTATTCAGAAGCGTGATTTATATCACATAGCAACACTCCTTTTGAAATATGACACCCAACATGTGCTACTCTAGTCCAGAGAGAAAAAACATGTCTGATTAATTATAAACCTGAAGAAGTTTTAACAAGTCGTATAAAGACCTAAACATGTAACAGATAGGCTGTCATATAGTCATAGTCAGGGTACGGGGAGGTCAGACAGGCTGTCATATAGTCACAGTCAGGGTACGGGGAGGTCAGACAGGCTGTCATATAGTCACAGTCAGGGTACGGGAAGGTCACACAGGCTGTCATATAGTCACAGTAAGGGTACGGGGAGGTCAGACAGGCTGTCATATAGTCACAGTCAGGGTACGGGGAGGTCAGACAGGCTGTCATATAGTCATAGTCAGGGTACGGGGAGGTCACACAGGCTGTCATATAGTCACAGTCAGGGTACGGGGAGGTCACACAGGCTGTCATATAGTCACAGTCAAGGTACGGGGAGGTCACACAGGCTGTCATATAGTCACAGTCAAGGTACGGGGAGGTCACACAGGCTGTCATATAGTCACAGTCAGGGTACGGGGAGGTCAGACAGGCTGTCATATAGTCACAGTCAGGGTACGGGGAGGTCAGACAGGCTGTCATATAGTCACAGTCAGGGTACGGGGAGGTCAGACAGGCTGTCATATAGTCACAGTCAGAGTACGGGGAGGTCACACAGGCTGTCATATAGTCACAGTCAGGGTACGGGGAGGTCACACAGGCTGTCATATAGTCACAGTCAGGGTACGGGGAGGTCAGACAGGCTGTCATATAGTCACAGTAAGGTTACGGGGAGGTCACACAGGCTGTCATATAGTCACAGTCAGCGGACGGGGAGGTCAGACAGGCTGTCATATAGTCACAGTCAGGTTACGGGGAGGTCAGACAGGCTGTCATATAGTCACAGTAAGGTTACGGGGAGGTCAGACAGGCTGTCATATAGTCACAGTCAGCGGACGGGGAGGTCAGACAGGCTGTCATATAGTCACAGTCAGGTTACGGGGAGGTCACACAGGCTGTCATATAGTCACAGTCAGGGTACGGGGAGGTCACACAGGCTGTCATATAGTCACAGTCAGGGTACGTGGAGGTCAGACAGGCTGTCATATAGTCACAGTCAGGGTACGGGGAGGTCAGACAGGCTGTCATATAGTCACAGTAAGGTTACGGGGAGGTCAGACAGGCTGTCATATAGTCACAGTCAGGGTACGGGGAGGTCAGACAGGCTGTCATATAGTCACAGTCAGGGTACGGGGAGGTCAGACAGGCTGTCATATAGTCACAGTCAGGGTACGGGGAGGTCACACAGGCTGTCATATAGTCACAGTCAGGGTACGGGGAGGTCAGACAGGCTGTCATATAGTCACAGTCAGGGTACGGGGAGGTCAGACAGGCTGTCATATAGTCACAGTCAGGGTACGGGGAGGTCAGACAGGCTGTCATATAGTCACAGTCAGGGTACGGGGAGGTCAGACAGGCTGTCATATAGTCACAGTCAGGGTACGGGGAGGTCAGACAGGCTGTCATATAGTCACAGTCAGGGTACGGGGAGGTCAGACAGGCTGTCATATAGTCACAGTCAGGGTACGGGGAGGTCAGACAGGCTGTCATATAGTCACAGTCAGGGTACGGGGAGGTCAGACAGGCTGTCATATAGTCACAGTCAGGGTACGGGGAGGTCAGACAGGCTGTCATATAGTCACAGTCAGGGTACGGGGAGGTCAGACAGGCTGTCATA